AAATGTATAGATTCATGTAGAGCAATATTGATCGATTTCATAGGTTGAACATGTTTTGGAATAGAAAAATTGTCATCATCAGAAACGAAGACTTTAGCGTCCATATAATGATAATGATGAGGGTTGATATATTTTCAAAGTAAGGCGGTTTTCTCAAAATTCTTCCATGTCCAATGTTTCAATGATAACGAAGGAATTATTAAGGTAATCTGGTTTAACTGGTGAACATATATAAAAAAGAGATCTTCTATATGTCATCTATTTCAATAATCTGTCATCTTCATTATTTTTCATTAATCTTTGGTCAATATTTATTTTTGTAAATTTTAAAATATATTAGAAAATGTCTTGCAGTCCATGTACTTACTATTTAGACTGTTACTGAACTCTATTCTATTTTTTAATTCTCAACTTTATGACTACGTGGTTGTACATTGAGAACATTGAGATTTTGAATTTCAGAACCTACAATAAAAGGCACGCGTATAATAAAATATACTAAAAATATAAAAATACTTCAATATGAAACTTTGAGTAAGTTGGTGTAATCAGATTTTAAGATTCGTTAATTTTTAATTAAATGTTCGTTTTTTTAAGTATTAAAGCTTTTCGAATATATAAAGAGAAAATTGGAAACAATTGGATTTTTAAAAGGTTCAAGATAGACCAATATATATTTTTATTATACATAAATTTTTCTGTAAAATTGTTAATTTGAGTTAACTTTTTACTGATAGATAGGTTCTGCATTTAGAACAACAATTTCGAAAAAAAAGATTAGATTATTTTCCAATATTTTTTGGAATTACATCTGGATGAATTCGGTATATGGATGTGGTATTTTGTGCATTAACAACACATAAAACGGGGATAATGTACAATTTAATTTGACTATAGATTGTCGTCTGTCTATGCTAATAAATCTCTTGAACACATTTAAATTATTTAATTTCTTCTTGTTGTCATACATTTTCAAATTAATCGTTTTCTGGATAATGTTCATTTGGAATGAAGTCGCCTTGGAAAGCGTTTTCAATTGTTCTAACGATTCAATTGTTCTAACTACATCTGCTTCCAATTCAGTTTTCTTTATTATTCGATGTTATATACTACATTGTTATCTGTGCCGCCCGATTGAAATTAGTTGTTTAGTTGTTTTCCGCAGAAGGTTAATTTCTCTTCTTTTTTTGGAATAACAAACATAAATCGATGGCTGATTGGATTCGTTATCTATTTGATGACATCACCCAAATGGACCTATATATATGCTGATGAATGTAAATGAGTATATGTAAATCAATGTAAATGTTATAAAAAATTGCAAACGTTTTAACATATTTCTTAGAATAATCTCAGATGGCTTAAGATGAAAAGTCTATATCCCAAAAAAATTATAGGGGACAGTATAGTAATATTAGTTTCTAATATTTCTGATGCTTGTTTCATTTTATTTAAATAGTCCCAATCTTGCCGTTTTCAATATTTTATTAAAACAACTTGCTTTTTTTGGACATATCATTTTGATTAGGTACGAAATACAGTCTTTTCATTTTAAAACCACAAAATATTGAACTATTTTCTATTAAATATTAATAATTTATTATTTTTAGAATAACATTAATGTAAATGTAGTATATAAAACAAACAGAACAATTTTAGGTAGACAAAAAGAGATAGAGAGTTTCATACACACCACATCATTGAGAATTGCAGAGCAACCCATGTTAATAACCGCTTTAGAGAATCGAAATTCTTTTTCAATTTCCACACAAGTAATCGATAAGCACTTACCGTTAAGTTTATATTTCAACTTCACACTATTTTGTAGTATAAACTAATCCTAATCCTTTGATTGCTTGCACTTAATATGATTTCCACCGAATCCTTGTCAATTTTTATTCTATATAGAATATATGTGTGTCTGTGTGTTGAGTGTGTGTGTTTCGAAATGTTTATGTTCAAAATACAAAATAGATTCGTTTCTGGGTAAAATCAAAAATTTACTAACGACACAAGTTCCAGACGACACACGTTTCGAGTCGACCGACTGAATCGCGTAACAAAAGCAAAAGACAAAACAAAATGAAATTGCTAATCACTACGGGAGGTTTGAAATGTGAGTCTAGCCAACAAATTAAATTAAGTTTTGGGTAGGCGAAAGGTATGACCCTGAATTCGTTCGCTTTCGATTGTCTATCTGTCTGTCTTTCACGGTTACCGTTGTTGTTTATGGGGTGATTTAAGAATACAGCTATTCTTTCGGGTGGTTGTGGTGGGTGGCTATATTTCAACAAAATGTCTACACTTTGCATGAAAAGGGGACAATCCAAAGTTATTCCATAAAATTACGATATAGTTTTTGTCTGTATTCTAAAAATCAAATTGCACTGTACAGAACCCAATCGATATTACAGAAAGGTACAATTTTAACAATGTCAGATATTTTTGTTGGGAAGTATCTCCAAAACTGAACCCAGTATATTCGTTACTGAGTAGATAAACCTTAGCCATAATGTTATGATTTGATCAATATTCATGCAATCGGTGTTTGAATAGCAACTTTGAATCAAGTATTTTCTGTATAAAAAAGAGGCACATAGTTCAGTTGCAGAAGATATCTTCTAATCATATACTTCGGTTGAAAAATGCAACTGAAACTTAAAATTGATGGTGCCGTTATTCGGTAGATATGTCAAAAATTTCCTTCAGTTCAGAGCATAATTTAAAGTGAATCCCCGTTTTCTAGGCACATTAGATAAACCATGACGTGGGCTGGCTAAATTAGTCTATGTAATATTTACGAACACGCATTGAACAATTAATTACGAAAATATTTAGCAAATGCGATTATTTACACATTGTTCAGTGTAAGGAATTGTAACGCCGAAGCTGAACTGCAATTTGATTCTAGATTTAACTAACTACAAATTGAAAAGAAAATCACAAGAAGAATACCTGTAACTAATAGAAAGTAATCCGGACAGGAATATAAGAACACAAGTTCGCTTATCGAATATAGTAGTGATTCGCGATTACGTTAATGGATTGTTAAATGTACATAGACTATTCTGTATACGGACATTTTTCTAAATTTGTCAATAACTGTATTATAGACCTTTTTGCAAATCCATAAATAAGTATTTAGAATATGACATCACTATTTGTTTGTTTGTTTTAGTAAAATTGCCTATCAAAGAATCTACCGTTTCTTCAAATTTTGCAACCGATTACTCGAAACCCATTCCTGTACCCACAAAACAATTAACTCGGAATATCAACTTCTGATATTCTTCTTAAAAGATCTTTAAGTATTGTAGATTTTTAAGTATTACGATCTAATTTTGACTTTTCTACTACACCCTTTTCACATGTTATTCAAAACATATCAAATGTAATTCGAGAATTCCATTTGCAATTCACAACATATAATTTGCAATTCGAGAATTCCATTGGCAAATCATAAAATATCAGTAGTAATTCGAGAATTTCATTTGTAATTCATAGAATACTTTTCGAAATTCATAGAACTTCATTTGAAATTCATAAACTTCCATTTGAAATTCCAAGTATTTGCGTTTGAAATTCATAAAATTCCACTTGAAATTAATAAAATTCCATTTGAAATTTAAATAATTCCATTTGAAATTCTTAACATTTGATTTGAAATACATAACATTCCATTTGTTTTTCATAACATTTAATTTTAAATTCGAAAAATATTATTGGTAACACACAAGGATATGTATGAATTTGAAATGAATTGTTATGAATTACAACTGAAATTTTATGAATTACAAATGAAATGTTATGAATTTCAAATTGGATTCTTTGAATTTCAAATGGATTTCTTTGAATTTCGAAAGGCATTTCGATATATGGCATTTTGAAGGCACATTTTCCCACCTTATTGTGTTTGTAAAGAATCATGAACTCTCGTTCATTTATATCCTCGAATCTTTAATGAAAATGAATAAGTTCTGTTGTCGGATTTATGAAATCTCACAAACTAAATCTTTAGTAATAAAAATATCCTCAGACATTTCATGTTATTTTTTTTAAAGTGCATAAGTTTTTCATTTCACAAAGTCCGTTTGATGAATTCCCAATTTTTTAAATCACTTTAAGCTGAAAATGTATATTAGAAACGGAAGTCACACACTACCCCACAGAACAGCAGACGCCGATAGACGGACGACAAATCCTTAAGACTTCTGTTTGACCTCTTGGTGGTGACAACTCTAATCCAATTGAAATGTGACTAAACTAATTATTTATGTATATGTGCTTATGACGACACATGTATGCTGGTGGTAGTTGGGTGATGGCTAATAGATGACGACGAACCTGACCACTCTGCCCGCCACTAATTCATTTCAAGTTTCGTACAGGTGCATGTTGACAGCGATATTTTAATATTTTTGTTGTATTTTGTGGCTGTTGTAAACCGCATATGTATACATATTTAAGTTTAACGCGAAAATTTCATTAAGATATACACAAATAGATGGTTTAAATTATCAACATGTAAACTGTTGTTGTTGTTGTTTTGTTTCGTTTTTTTAGTTCTAAATTTCTATATATTTGTACCATTACCGGGTAGATTACTTTTCAAATGATATCATGGATGTTTGCAAATACACACAAATAAGCCTTTGGACATTTCTGTTATCAAACACATTAAATAAAGGATAATCCAACTAAAGTCGAAACAAAAGGGAACAAAAATAAATTGAATGAAAATCACAAAACAAAATCAGATCAAATGGAGGAACAAAATGGGAAAATAAAATGTTTAAACGTTCTACATAGCCAAAGAAAAATAAATAATGTGATTTTTTTTTAGTTTATCTGATAGGTTGATAAAATGTGGCAAACATAAACATATACTCGTAAATACTTAAGTATACATATGTATATATGGATATAAAGACGTATATAATTGCTGGTTTGTATTGGTTTTCTTTTATAACTAAAACTAGAAAATATTGAAATACACTTACCGGTAGTCGAAATGGTAGATATGCGTTCAAATGTCGATTCGGTTGTTTTGTGTAAAGTTTTCACTGTATCTATTAGATTATCTGCAATGGCGGAAAAATATACAATATGATATGGTATGAGTGAGTTGAATGCAGTTCTATCAGTCTATATTCTAACAGTGTCTAATCTACATTGTATATGTATGTTACGAATAGTGATCTGCATTTCAATTAATTCGTCTTAACAGACGAATTTTCAAGTAAAAAATTCTTAACAATTGGAATGCAAAGACTAGCCATAATATGTATGTATACAATCAACAAATATTCAAATATGATATAAACACTCTTATTACGGTTGACATTGTCGTGTCAAAAATAGTACGTTGTCGTTGTTTATACGACAAATCTGTCGTTAATGATTCTGTAGGTGACAGCATAAAAACAATTAAATATTATTTACATTCTTTTTAGAATCCGTGTTAAATGTGGAAACAATTTTAGATAATATTAATGGTTTCTAAAAAAAATTGTTTCGGTTTTACAACAACGCCACCAGTATTAAGGTTGATATATGCAATTCGCTCTTTATAAAGACATTATCTCTACTACAGTATAGTAGTAATCGTTCTACGTTTTGTACATAGATGTTGTGCAACAAAAAAAAAAGTCGTTTACAACCGAAACCGATTTTGAAAATCACTAGGTGATTACAACAAAATATATAAAAAATAATGACAATTTTTGTAAGAAAAATATTTTTAATGTTGAATTTGATGTGTTTTAATGTTTTACCTACACTTTCAAAATAAAGAATTGCAATGTGCCACAACTTGGTCTTATAACCGTAGCCAACATTACAAATATTACCACTTATTTTTAAATTCTAATGGATGCATTGCTGACCTTTCTACAATTTTTCGATTAAATCAATATTATGGCAATGCCTTGTTATAAAGTACACGCTCTAAAATATGTTACATCTTCTAAGGAAGTAATTGATTGCCATTAAATATTTTTAAGAGCCTAAAAGTATGCAAGGCAATTTAGGTTAAAAAAAATTAATTGAATGTATTTCCGATGTAGCCGTTTTCAATGAAACTATTTGTAATTACGAGTGGAAGTAATGGTATGTATAATGTTATTTTTTACAGTTATAAAAAAATCGTCAAGAGTAAATAAACTATATATGCATTACAAGTCTCCAGAGTATGAAATAGCGATGGAGCGTTTTTAAACGTTCAAAAGTGGCAACTTGTGATTTTGTCTTGTACCATCTTCATGCTTTTATGTCTTTGATAAAAATCTATGTGTGTTATGAATTTTCTAACTTCTGTAGTACTGTACAAAATGCCAATAAGTCTTAGGAAAATAGTTAAAAAATAAAACATATTAAAAAATTACTACTTCTTATTATGCTCATAAAGGACAACTTGTGCTAATTATACATTAACGTAACACAACCAATTTGCTTTTATACTGGATACTATTTGACAATCATTTATATTTCTTTAATAGTGTTGAGCTTAACTTTTTTGTAAGAAAACAACAATTAATCGAATGTTGAATACGATGACACTGTTATTATGAAATTGGCATTGTTATTAATAATATATTAAAATTACATTCCCCGATAATTGATTTGCCATCACACTTCGCTCGACATACCAAAGGTACTTCGTTCTTTGAAACAAAATAGTTATATAATGTGCATTGCTGCAAAAATCGCTGATACCGTTGAACTAAGAACTTGATGTTTTATAAATATGCCAAATAAAATAAACCTATTTAAATTCATAACTCAAACAAATAAAAACATAATAAAGTATCAATAAGAGGGAAACTAGACAACCCTTTTTTAACAAGTTAAGAAATAAAAATAAAAAACAACAAATAAATAAAACACAAGTAAAATCGAAATTAAATATAAATGTGCATAATATTTTTTACATCGACACATTATTAAATATTTATTTTTTTGGATATTTTAATATTATTCACAATCATTATCAATCATTATGGTTTTGTGTGCACAAAAACATTTAAGGGATTTCTTACGCTCACGCATACACACTAGTGTAAGTATTTAGAATTGGCGGTGTGGCTGTTTATACATCACCATATAATTATAATAGAACCGAAAAAGGAAAAGTTTACACAGCCCGCCGATAGATATTGCTTTTATCCATCTCTCGTCTATCACAAATACTGAAATAAATTAAAAGGTTTAACAACGTTTGAGCTCTCCCCGCCGGGAGATTGATAGCGAGAGACACATATTGCTACCTAGAATTCCCTTTTGTGTTTTTGATTTTCTCTATTCATATATATTTCATTCATATATATATATATATAGTTCTTGCATTGGCGTTTTTAATTTTATTTAACTACGTGTGATGGACACACAAATAAATGTATTTGAATTTTACTTATGTTCACCTTCGTCAATTGTCGATTTCTGTGTTCCTTCGACATATTCGCTTTTGTCGTTTTTCGTTTCAATGGGGGTTGGTGGTGGTGTCTGCGAATGCGGAATATCGCTCTCTGTAAATAAAAAATGTACAAGAAAATTATCAATTCTATTTATTTATTGATTGATTCAACTTATTATTATTTTTGTAAATTTATTGGCATTTACCCACCTTGCAGTTTCAGCTGTTCGGAGATTTCAATTAAACCTTCACTCATTTTCTTTGTAATGGTCTCCTCGACTGATTTGCAAAACTCGGCATCTGTCAACGATTTACGTGGTTCGCTGCTTGTGGAGGCGTACATTGGACCGGCTTGTTCAAAGTTCAGAAAATCTTGTGTCAGGGTCTTAACGGAGCTTGTAATAATTTCAGGCTTGGTAATGGGTGCGGCGACTTCAATGCCATCTCCCAAAAGGTGTTTGGCTTCGTCAACATGTTTTTCTATTTGTTGTTGTGCTGTTTGAAGTGTTTCGCCAGTTTTCGATACTAAAGATTCACCTTCCTTTATAGTGGTCTCCACCACTGGTGGGAATGTAATGGTCTCGACGATTGTTTTTTCAATTTGTTTGGTTTCTTCCACTACCCCCGTTCGCTGTGGCATAGCCAACTGAGATTCCTGTTCCATGGACAAAAAGTCACGTGTTACTTTTCTGGCATCGGCGACAATTGATTTCATCTCCTCCAGTTTTTCCAGGGAATCGTCGAATGTGGTCACCGATTTTCTAGGCGCAGCTTCTGGAGCACTTTTTTGTTCTTCTTCGATGTTAGTGGTAGCTGCTGATGTTACCTTCGGCTCGAGACCACGAAATTCGTATGTTACTTTCTTAGCTTCGAAGTCGGCAATTGTTTGATCAATTTTATCCGAAGCAATTACCTGTTCCTTTTGAATATTCGACTGGACCTCGTCGACGGCTGCACCAGCTTTATCTGTAAACGATTTAATAGTCTCGGCAACATTATTGGCTTCTGCTTTCACAGAGTCCTTTGCTTGTGTGATTTTTTCTTCTATTTTTGCCGGTTCTGAAAATGTTTTTATAGTTTCCGTGACAGTTTTCGTTTCGGTGACAATGGCATCTTTCGTGTCGGTAATGCTTTGTTCGATTTTTTCTTTGGTTTCAGTTTTAGTCTCATTAGCTTTTGTTTCAAATGTTTCCGAGGTTCCTTTTACTTCGGATACGACGGCATTTTTTACTCCGCCAAACATCTGTCCCAGTTTGTCGACTCCTGCTGTCAGTTTGCCTTGCACTTGGCTGGCACCACTTTTCAGTGAGTCGGCGACACTCGAAGATTCCTTCTCAATGGATTCCTTTGCCTTACCTACATTTTCAGCAATACGAGACGAGGTATCCTTAGCTTCGGATATTTTGGGTTCGGTGAAGGCCTTAATTTTATCCTTTACCGATTCGCTTTCGGTCTGAAGGAATTCTTTTGTTTCTTCGACTTTGGTTTCCGAGAAACTTTTCACCGCATCTGTTGCACTCTTTTGATTTGCTATTATAGAGTCTTGAACGCGTGTTGCCGTCTCATCTATGATCTTGGAAGGTGCTGTAGCAGTGTTGGTTTCGGTGAAGCCGTTCTCAGGTTTCTTGGTTTCAAATGCTGAAATTATAGTTTCTACCTTCTTCGAAGCTGTTTCCACGGTTTCGCTTACAATTTCTTGCGCAGTCTGTACTACTTCCTGCGATTTTTCTTTTACCTCTCCGACGAATTTTTCAGGCACTGCGGTGGTTTGCTGTGATGGCAATTGTGTGAATTTTTCAAATGCTAAAAAGTCTTGAGTTAATTGTTTGGGACCGGAGGCCAACGATGGCATTTCCGATTTCAATGAGTCAATAATTTTGCTTGGCTTTTCAACACTGCTGATGTCCTTGACGATTTTCGAATTGTCCACTTCTTCGTGGCTGCTCAACGATTTTGCAGCGCTGGAGGTGTCGTCTTCCTCCTCGGAACTACGGCTGGATGTTTTGAATTTGTGCGTTAGTTCCTTGTCAAAGTCGCTCTTGCTCACTTCGCTCGAATCCTTCTTGCCCATCTTCATTTTGATAACCTGTTCGGGAACCACTGCAGACTTTACAATATTGTCAGCGGGCAATTGCATCATTATTTCCGACTCGTGAATGGCCTTCTTGTCATCGATCAGGCTCTTACGTTTGATTTCGGTTATTTCACGGGAAATTTCCTTTTTCTGGGACGAAGCGGGTATCTGTCGTTCCACCGATAAGCGTTTGACGATTTTATCGCGCCTCTCAGCCACCGATCGCTTCACACATTCCTCGTCCGATTCTGATTCCTCGATTTCTTTCTCCTCGGCCGAGTACTTAATTTCCTCGTGATCATGGATTTGCTGTATCCGCTTGCCTGCAAAATTTAATAGTTACAAAGTACCCATTCTAAATTCAGATCAACAATATGTCTTATCGCGAGGATACTTACTTTCTTGTCGGACAAGCTCCTCCACCGACTCCGAATTTTTCATAATGTCGGTTTCATCAAAGTCACGCGAATGCGAAAGTCTGCCGCTCTTGCATTTGCTCATAATGTCGTCGCGTCCGATGTTCTTGAGAGCCTGTTCCAGGGCTGGCAAATCATAATTTGGCTTGTCCTTATACAAGCGAATCATGCTTTGAGCTTGTCTAGCAATACTGTCGGTGTTCTGGTTGATAATTTCGTCGATCTCTTCCGTTGTGATGCCAATTTCGGAGGCAAGTTGGATCCAATCCTTGCCCAGCAGATTTGACAGGTCCACTATACGTATGTCCCCGATATAGTGATCGTTCTGGTGCTTGCTAAAGTTCAACAGCGAACTGCGATATGTGGGCGTAACTTTGTCTGAAAAGGCCGTAACTGAATCGGGTATGACAGCATCCGGCAATACAATATTCAGGATGCAGATGGGCTGTTGCGGCGGTTCCCCCTTAGCCACCTTCGGCTCCTTCATGAAGAGCGTGCGTCCCACAATGTCGGCGTGCTGGTCTTTGACACGCACCGTAAATGGAAGTCGATTTTCGCGGAATGCTTTAAATGGTAGCTGTAGTTGTTCGCCGGACTTTGTAACCGGCACCAAGTTGCCGGCCATTTCAATGTACTGAGGCTTGCCCTCGAGCACCTCGACGTCCCGACTCTTGGCCACCTGTGTGTACAGCTCCATCTTCTCCAGTGTCTTGTCCTCGCGGTCATCCGTCATGCAGAAGACGCGCAGGCGGGCTTCGTATGGTTCGACTTTTTTGGCAAACACTACAAATTTAGCTATGAAAGGTACATGAATGACTTCCCTATTAAGATGCAATATGGGAGAAGGGGAGTTAGGTTAAGTGATCGTGTCTTACTATTATTTATTTGTATAAAATGTTGCATACTTGTATAATTCAGTAGCCATTTTTGTGGCCTCACTAATGTTACGACAATCCATAAGCCAAAATCTAGCCGATACGGTGGTGGTGAACGAAACGCAATCGTTGACAAATGTCAGTGGAGTAGAGCCAGTCACGTCTTCCCATTGAGCCCGCGAAGGACCACCTATTTTGGACAAGGATAGCCAGAGAGAGGAAGAGAAAACCAAGACAGACAAAAAATGGAAAAGAAGAGACAAGAAAAGAAAGCGATCAAGGCAAAAGAAAAAATACAAAAAAAACATTAGTGGTATATCAATGGCTTGGCAATAGTCTTCGTGTTTAATTGCTACAATTTCCTGTCAATAACGTCATGGTCACTGTCCTCAGCTATTTAATTAATTTGTTTTCTTTCTTTTATCTAAACGATTTTTTAGCAAATTATTATTACACTTTTATTATAAAAAATAAATTTACGTCTCTATTTTGAATGTAGATTTTGAACATTTAAATTTCAATAGTTCTGTTTGTTGTTTTTATTTTTGATTTGTTTAGATCTATAATTAATTCAATCAACGTAAACCAACAAAACCATTAAAGTGTTTAAGTAAATTAAAAATTATTACAAAAAAATGAAAAACAAAAACATATTTATATAAGAAAACTTAAATATAAGAAATAAAAATATATATTCGAATAATGTTCTATGCACTTAATACTTAGTTTGCAAATATTCCTAATGTGGTACGATATTACTTGTAGGTAGATCCAGGCCACATATGGTTTTCCACCTTTAGAATACAATTAGGATTATGGACGTGTGTGTGTATTTTTTACAATCAATCAATTTATTTATTATTTATTTATATATTGTTTACGTTCATAAATTTTGTTCCTATATGGAATTCCGTTTGTAGATGTTTGCAATACATGTCATTCATCATCTTTTGTAAACATAGAAAATTATATTTGTATTAAAATGTAAAATTGACTGCAGCATAGGAAATGTAGTTTCGACAATTTTGGAAAATATACGTCTGTCTGCGTACTCGTTACTTTGTAACAATTTGTTCAAAATGTTATCTCTTGACTGAGAGAGCTGTTTTGATTTTTCCATTACTGAGTACTTAAAAATCTTATTAGAAAAGTAAAGTTTTTCATAAGCAAACGTCAATGTAAATCTTAATTAATGTATTTTTTCAAAAAAATTGAAAGCATGCCCTTTGTTCAAAATGTTGAATTTTGTTGTTGTTTGAAGAATAATAAGAATCTATCTTTCTCTCATAAAATAACGTACACAGACAAATGAAAAAATACGAGTTTCAAATATTATATAGGTATTCGTTATTAAATACTTATACTCATTGAATGGATGGGGACTTGTTGCGTAAAAATTACACGAAAAATTCCGATATTACTTTTCACTATCTTAAAAACCTTTGCGATGATTTCTAACTGGTAGAGAAAATAATCGTTTTCGTTATATCTGTACTTTATTTATGCTGTACGTTATTTGTGCTTGTAAATAAAGATTTTCATACAAATCCTATAGCGATCGTTTTTTACAACGAACTATTTATTCGGTCCCAACTTTAAGTTTTCATTTATTTTTATTTGGTTATAATGAACATGCTGCAGATAAGATCTACTTAATGCATAACAAGAAAAATACCCCAAAAGTTAATTTTTACGCTAATGCTGGTAACCTTTACAAAAACTTGTCAGCGGAGGAGTTTCCTATCATAAATAATCTATATGTGACATTCATTTATATATAAGACTTCCATTTCAATTCCCAAAAAGCATAAAGCCTACATTTGCATTACAGATATTAGTCGTTTATTTTGAAAATGTTTTTTGTTTGATATTTATAGAAAATATATGCGGTATATATTTTGTAAAATATACTAGAAATCAAAAACGTAAAAAGTCTAAAATGGACTTAAACCACTTTCAAAATAATCGTATCATATACTTTACTGAAGTTCTATATACTTAATTTTTTTGTTTTGGGCTTCTTTATTATATAAAATAATCTAAAAATTGTTAGTGAATTCAAGTATTGTTGTTGTTTCATAAAAATGTCAAACACCGTTAATTGAAATGTTTAGTTATTTTTACTAACGAATTTATATTAAAAGTTTATTCGATATGGGGTTTCCTTTAACCATTATATAGACCTTGATCTTACCCTTATTATTGTACCACATCAATGTAACCTAATTGTATATTGAATTTGCACGATATCTAAATGATTTGATTTTTGTTAGTGTATGAGATAATGTGTATTGGAAATTTTTCATTAAAATGTGCTTGTGTATTTTCATGTTTATTTCCAGACAAGCCAAAGCGCAACAAAAAAGAATAAAGCTCATTCTTCTAAGCTATCAAAATGTTTATGGGTATTCTAACGCAGCTAATGTTGGATAGCAAAATAATGAAAATCTTAACTAAGGTATACTCTCTAATTTGTCTATAACATTGACCTATGGGTGGGTGTCATGGATCTGAATTATATCATGCAGGAGAACAACGATTTTTTGTTTGTTTTGAAAATACTAAAGGTTTTTCTTCAAATCATCAAACAAATCAAACACTTTACTATAAAGCGTTGACACTACAATCAGAATGAAGACTACAACAAATGTTTTCGGTTTTTTTCCTGTTACTCTAGTCGGTTGAACCGAATCCACAAACAATTAAATTTTAAGCAATATATTTGTTTTTTTTTTTTTTTTTTTTTTTTTGAATATTTCTCAATTGCAATATATAGTAAATCTCAGTTTTTTATTGACTATATCGTGAACATTTTTGGATTGAGAGATTGTAACGGTTCATTCTTTACGAACGACAATAACGAATATAAACGATGAGAACAATCCGTTAATTAGTCTATGTCTAAATGCAGTAGGAAGGAATAGGAAAACAGAAAGAAAAAGTCCATCTCCCGCTATTTACATATTTAAAAAAGTCTACGTGCCTCGTATTTTGAGTTACAATAACTCACTGAAAAATTATTGTATTCAGTGATGTACGCATTGAGCAGGAGAGAGTCCCAAACTGTTTCTTAATAATTTATTATTTTATAAAGCTTAATTTATTAAAAACAATCGCAAATATAATTTACTGTACAAATTAACAAAACAATTTTCTTCGTTCATCTGAGTAATTGATAAGAAAATATAAATGGACGCTAACGTACGGATTTGTGCATAGTTGATTATAATATTGTATTGCAACTTTGTATTGTTTAATGTAATTTACGGAATTTTGCGTAAAACAAAATGCTTCTATTTTATATATTTACAGAATATATTTAAATAAAGCAAAGAAATTGTGGTGAATTTTCAGATGAGACGATATGCGATGCCAAATGTGATGCTAAGAAATAATTAAAGCAGTTAAGATATAGATTAAATTGTGTTTCAATCTGAATACTACCAGCAACCCATTCCCAGAAAATTTCTTTTGAATGATATCGGTTATTGTTTGAATGATTTGAATGGGCGTCAATCCTCCTGAAAACTTGATATTGAAAAATAATAATTTTGGCTTTCTATAGGCAAGTAATCACTCTACATTGTATACAAAAATATATAGATTTGGATTTTTGATTCAATAGAGCATAAGCCCGACAAAAACCTCTTTTAAATGGGTAATTTCAAATGATTTGTCTGTTGTAAAAATATACGGTCGAAACAATCTATAATGTAACGGTGGGCGATACATGAATTACTAGCTAATTGAGAAAATATTTTAGAAAACAGAACGCTATCGAGAAAATTGGAAAGCTCTTATAAAATGATTATTACCATTACCATCTTGTTACAATTTTGCTAAATATACAACATTTTGTATCATATCAATGGATATTGTGATTGTATGTTTTATTCACATAAAACTTGAATTGTAGTCAACAATCTCGTTACGTTTCTAATAAACACACATATATTTTGTTCATATGACAGCAACAAATGGTATTGAATATTTACATTACATCAACTATTGGAAATACAAAAACAATTAAAAAATATAATTTGAATGTGTAGATCCTAATAAATGCTTACACATTATGTTACAAACAAACATGTAAAACAACTTGACTGATTGTCAGTCACTTACATCAGCTTATTTTAATACGCCTTGTTGTTTTTTTAATATTGAATTGTTTTTGAAATTGAAGCAAGCTATCTATATGTTTGTTGTTGTAGTTTCTTTTAATTCAATAGCACATTTAAAAAATACTAAACAAGATATTCCAAAAAGAGCATGCGTAGAAAGTATTTATGATTGTATGTGTGTGTGTGTGTGAGTAGATGTGTGAATACTCTAAGTAAAAATACGAATATTTATGTAAATATTTAGTAATACAAAAAATATTGTTTTGTATGGTAGTTAGTTGTAATATTATAGTGATGTGGAAAATTATTAATAAAACAATAAATATGTATGCGAAGAACAATAAGAAGAAGAGGAAGAAAATATACTTATATGGAAATTAATCAAACCTAATACAATCGAAATGAAAATAGGCGTTATAATAGAAAAAAATGTTAGCATTTATGTTGAAAAACAGTCGTACGAATTTCAGAAAGATGTTTTGTTTCAGAAAAGTTCTCTTTGGGGCCACAAAGAAACAATAACTAAATAAATTAAATTATATATTAATAACTAACCAAAACTATAATGTACAAATTAAATTTTATTTACATTTTTATTATAATTGGGTTTCGAGTTTAAAATTTTAATGTTCATTTAAAAGCGAAGACTGGTAAATGAATGTTACATTAAATCATAGAGTAGTAGTTGTTGTTGTTGTTGCTAAAATTAATCGTTTAATTTTTCACGAATTCTGCATTGCAAATCTTATTAATTAATTTATACTCTTCTTTTTCTATAAATCATGTCTTCCTTGTCTTTGAATTTGAATTGAATTGAAATAAACAAACTGTGGCTGGAAAATTGTATAATTTGAAATTGGAAATAAAAAGATAACCCAAACCGAAAAGGAACAGAAATACAAAAAAAAAAAAAAAAAACAAATTAAACAGACAGAAATTTATTAACGAAAAATAATGCAATTTGTCGGTGGTTCTGCAGGTGTGTTTGTGTTTTTATTTAATATAGGGCGAACAAGGTGGAATGTAAGGCCCAAAGAAGAACTCTTTCATATTCGAATTTTGTTAC